TTTAATATCTCACTCCGTGATAGATTTATTTTATAGCTTAGCTTCTTTTTCCTCTTCATAGTTTACAACATCATTCAAGACTATCCGATTTTATAGTTTTCTAGCTTTACTTTGTAATAGAGTAAATTACATAATGCATTATAGCTTGTCGAATAGGTTTCCCGAATGGCTTGCTTAAGTATTGAAGCTTGTGGTTGCAATTTGTTTCCCGAAGTCTGTATCTACAGTCAGATTTCTGAACTGCTTTAAAGGCACAGATTTCTGAATAGTTTCAAGACCATCGGAAGTCTGTTTTTACAGTACGGTCCTCGTTGCTTTCTGAGGAAGGTGATTTCCGATTCTGATTTCCGATCCCGCTCCTTCCTAGCAGAGGCGATTCTGATTCACGAGGACATGAAGTTCAAAAGGAGAAAGAGTGTTAAGGGAACATGTGATCAGAGGCTAAAGAGGCTAAGGAGGAGGGAACAGATAGAGATTTCTACAACAATTTAACTCTTCTCTTTTCAATATCAACAAAACTATTCGATCCCTACATCTTTCCAGCTTCACTCTTTGTTAACCTAGTTCATACAAACAGACATTTTATAAGTATTTTCCTTTCTGTTTTATAATTATAGATTCTAAGAATACATTATGTCCTGCTCGTGTAGTTCTTTCAAGGCAAATTGTCACAATATTCAACTCTTATATTTTCAAACTAGGAAACACCTCATCCCTTCTTAAATAATGAATTACTATTATCTGAATTTATATAAACATTTCTACTTTAGATCGTGAGCATATAGTAATTTAGATGTGTAGTACGTTACTGGAAGATCTGAAATCTGTAGATAATCAAGCAAAGTCTCGCACTACGTGAGCGAATACGTCGGTGTAGTATAGTATACTTAACTAGTGAGGATTCAAGATTATGTTGTTTTTGGGCTACTCTTTGGATGTAAGATATTTCCATTCACCCCCTAGGCTCCTGTTATGGCTTGCCAATCAAACCTACTCGGGAGCTCAAAATTCCGAATATATATGGCAAATCATTAGATTTTCCCATCTTCCTGGCCGGGCAGACAAACTCCGGGAGCAGTAGACTAACCCCGTTGGCATCTAGCACTTATAAAACTGATCCTTGCCGAATCCCAACTCTCCAAGGATTCCTTGACTCACATTGCGCTCGCCCAGAAGCGACGCTTCCATCGCCGACGGCCCGCATACAAATACTTTCTCATGCACATTCGAGGCTTTCGACAACGCGTCCTTGATCAGTTCTTTCGTGACTCGACCTTTAAGAAAGACCGAGTCTAGACCGAGGTGAGTAATGGTGTAGCCGACGCTGAAGCGGTCCGGGTATGTCTTTGCAATCTCGTCAAATTCGGAGCGGAAGAGGGCGTCCTCATCGGTGTTGATGCCGAACAGAAGGGTTACTTTGATCTTTTCCAAGGGATTGGAAAAGATGCCCTTCAGGAGTTGAGCCATGAGGGTAATACCTCTACTTATAATGTTAGGGCTGTGCTGGATAGGGCTGAATCGCATGTCCGAGTGCTTACGCCCCACCAGCAATCATAACAATGTGATTGAATTCATTCTGCTTCCACTTGTACCCGCCGAGAATTGCGAGAACAAACAACGAACCTCCTGGTTTGAGGGAATGGATGTGCTGGCTTGCTTGGCCTCTTGGGTAACGCTTGATTACCAGATCTACATAGCCAGGTGCATCTAAGATTTCCCGTTAGTTAGATTTTCTGATCGGACGGAGACAGCAGCGTACTTAGATCGCTGATGGGTATGTAAGGTCTAACTACCGGACATCATTGGCCAGCCTGAAAAGAGAGTCGAGCCAGTATTGCTATATCACGATAGAAACGACGGTGACTTGTGGACTTGATCGGAGCCAATAGTGGCGTTTCAGAAAGAAAAGAGCCGCATGATAATACGTACAGGTTTTGTGAGGGTTTAAAGAGAGGCTGCAAGTTCATGTGTCAGCAAGATACTAGACTGATTCTGGGTGGGTTCTTGAAGCATACAAATTAAGGATAAGCCGCTGACTAAATCTTCAGTAGGCAAGCTGAACCTAAAACGACTCGAGTCGTGGTTTAATTTCTCCATGCTGTGTAGCTGCAACGAAGTGAAAGCTGGACCTCCACTGAAGGTCTTTGGCGGCGACTGCTGATTACTCGTGCCTTGTTCGGGTTTTTTGTCTTAAATCGAGTAGTAGGTGAAGGCTCCAATTGTGGTGGCCATGGCCGCAGGGACCAATGGAGATTGATGGCTGCGTAGCACAGTGTTCGCTGGTCTTGTGAAGATTTTGTTCAACATATTTTTAGTGGAGTAATGAGTGACTAGAGTGGTGATGTGAGGGTGTATTTTAGTCAAAGTTTATATTATGTGTGGATGAATGGTCGAATGATCTTGGGTTTCAACAAGCTGAGCTTCCGGCGATGTGAGGATTGGAAAGGGAGGGGTTTTTTTTATATACATATATATATACCGGTAGTATATAGGCATGCCATCAGTAGAGCCATCACACGATTTCGCTAACCTGAGCCGGTCTTTCGGACTTGGAACCCGGGTGGAATCCGCGTATGTCTCATGACTTTTCGGCGAAGAAAAAGAAAATTTATGGCCAAACGGAGTATGAATGTATCGTCGTGTCATAGCAACAAACATGACGAAGGCACGTAGAATGACAGATATTGCGTGTGCATTGCATATAGAGCCTGAAACAAGATAGCAAAGACAGCTTGTAGCTAAGCGCGCTCGAAGGCGAGAGAGCATACTTCTCTTCCCCTTTCGCGAGCACGATAATCTTTGTTATCATGCTTTTAAGATATTTTCAGCCCCATAGTTTCGTCACTGGTACTGTCGTCCCATTTTAGTCTCACGACATATTAACGGACACGGTAAACTCTTATATTGACGCTGCGCGTCATTTCTGTTTGTGTATATGCTCTGGCTATCGACCGATACTAGCCTGATGGTTCGAGGTTCCCCAGTTTCCCGTCGATATATTTACGAGACGTTTTTATCGAGTTAATCTGCACTATGTTTCTGCAGCACTCCGGCACGAATGTCCTCTAGGTTACCCAAGAGGCTTTTTTCTTAAAAGAAAGAAAAAAAGAAAAAGAAGAAAAGAAAAACGTGGCTCCGAACGAATGCTCTCGTAAGGAGTGTTATGCTATGCAAAAGCTCTGTCAGGGCTATTCTCAACTTTGAACCCGAGGGAGGAGACCAGCTGCTGTGACCGGTCCTTGCGAACAAGTGAGCTCTGTAGGGGATAACAAATAGAAATAGGAAGACGCACCACTATCGCTCTGGTGCGCTCTACCTAGACCACGCCAGTCGCGAGCCGGAATTATGGGTGGTAGATGGGTCATTCGCGAGTATATTCGCTAGGATAGGTTCTTGGCTATTGTGGTAACTATCCCGGGCGAGAGTGAGCACGTTGGATGCCAGAGTGAGGTCGATGCGGCCGCATTGGAGGATAGATTTGAGCGGAAGTGGTAGGCAGTGATGGATAACTCGACCCAAGTGACAGTTGCCAGATACCAGTCCGCACTTCTCCGGCCAGGCCTGAAAAATTAAAATTGACTGCTAGAGCAAAAACCTCAGTACGACATTGAACAGAGATAATTATATGGCTCAGCTAGTTTTTTATTCAACGAATCTCTATTTTGGATAACAATTGTGGTAAATTCGAGAATGTTATAAGTGAATGACTGAAGCTGATAGCTACCTGATCTCGTCTTGTATATCCGTGATATCTCCATCTTCATGTGTGTATATCCATATACCAAAGTATTGTACCCTCTTAAGCTATTTAGTCTACTCTTCTATCCCGTCTGCTGAACAGCCGTGGGCTGGGAGGTCATGACCACTACATTCAAAGGTCCATAAGATTTCAACCCCATTTTCACTGTCAATAGTCACCGGAGTAGATGTTTAGGGTTATAATTTCTCCAACGATACTGATGCTGTCGAGTTGAGGAGAAGGAGGAAGCTATAACAATGCTTGAATAGGTAATGTATATGGATGAGAATTGAGGATACATAGATGTACCACTACACCTGTCTGGCCGCTATACTTGAGCATTCCACTAGCATATATATTATCATACTATATCCTAATAGACTACTATATAATACTAGAAAGTACAATATAACCTCTAAGGTCCTTTGATCATACAGTTATCTTATAACATCCATTGTAGCATCCTTTAGCGACAACTGATATAAACATACTACTCAAAAAGCTTCTACTCACAGTACAAAATTTCAAAAGCCGATGAAGATGGACCCTTTCTTTTTGATTTCACAAGTATAACATCTAGATTCTCATGAAACCGATAAGCGCGATACTTTGCCTTAGAAAGAACTGCGAGAGCGGGGTACAATTTATCCTTGATCTACTTGACCGTATTCGGCCTAGCATATCGCCCATCTCCCCCTCCGCTTTTTATGTTTATGTAATGATCCACGTGATAATATCACGTGAAATATCCAATCTCGATTTTCATTATTCAGAATTAAGAGACTGTTTTGAGTCAGATTTATTCCTATTATCGAGTTGTGATTGGGTTGTCGATTCTAATGCAAAATATTGATTATTAATTTAAACATGATTTATTGAAGTTACTCAAAATTATCTCTTCGATTTAGTTTGTGGGGTAGACTACGCTCAATACGGTTAAGTAGATGTAAGTTATAGGTAGTAGTTTCAGATACATACAATGAACAAACAAAGTCCCTTCTTCACGTGATACGGTTCTTAACACAACAAATTTGACCAAGTGGGTTCTGCAGAAGTACAGCCCCTGGTTTGGAATGCATAAACCACGGCTTGATTTTCCCATACAAATTCTGGTGAGGAAACGAAGTACAATGTTGTACTTTGAACTCATATGAGTTAGAAACCGAACACACTGTGATCAGTCTCATGCCGCGGACGGACTACACCTTATGTTCACCACGCAAAAAAGCCCCGATGACACCGGAAATCGGTACTTGGGCCCCCCCGGTACTAGTCCGCTCTCCATTTTGTGTGGAGAGAAGTGCGTTACCGCCTGATAGTTCGGGCGTGGGCCACTGCCGGCCTCCAGTTGGGAAAATGTTATGCTTCGGACTTCGGACTCTGTTGAAATAGTAGTAGCACTACAAGCGGGATGTGAGTAGAGTATTAAATCAATTATTTCAGCAGTAAACTTTCTCTGTCCCCAATTAGGATATATGTTCTATCTACTACATCAATGTCGACAATGCTGCCTTCAAATATGTCTCTGCCCTTTGACAATATCACAGCAATAGTCGTTGTGGCCGCCGCAATCTCTACTGTGAGTGGAGACCCTCCCCCCCCTTATCCACTGCGGCCAAACACCCTTGATGGTTTTAGTTATCATATTCTCACACACAGCTAGATTATACTTTACAATGTGTTCACTAATCCCTTGTCTCGATTACCGGGTCCTTGGTATACGAAATGGACCTCGGGTGTCCTAGAGTATAACAATATCAAAGGAAAGAGAACTTTGTATGTTCACGACCTCCACTGCAAGTATGGTAAGTCTTCATTCATCTAAGCCATTATACGACTTCAGCCATTCGTATTCGTTGCTCATTTATGCAGGTTCGATTGTTAGAGTTAGCCCGACTGAAGTCCACGTTTCCGATATCGCAGCCACAAAGAAGATTCATAATGTCAAGAGTTCCTTCATAAAGTCGCCTTGGTATAGGTCGTTTACACCTTCAGATGTCTTGAATGTGTTCAATACTAGCGATATTGAACTTCATCGACATCTCCGACGCCTACTTTCATCGCCTATGTCGGAATCATCGCTTAAACATGTAGAAGTGTTCATTCGTCGGAATGTAGACCTCGCAGTGAAAGGTATCACTGAGGAAATGTCACAACGAGGTGCAGCGGATGTTTTTAAGTGGTGGATGTTCATGGCAACAGATGTGATTGGAGAACTCAGCTTTGGCGAATCCTTCAAGATGCTGGAGTCTGGCAAGGTAAGTGCTGGTCCTTTCTCACACGCATGTTCGTGAATCTAGAGGTCTTGGTTCTGAACAAAAGTCGCAGAAAAACCAATACATTCTGGATATCGAAACAACTGGGCTTGCCGGAGGCATTCGAGGCACCTTCCCATTTATGGTGAAGGTATCCAAAGTGATCCCAATACCTGTCTTCAAGGCAGCAGCTGCATCTGCAAAGCGGCTACGACAATACGGGGAACAGTCGATTGAGCGATCGAAAAGAGTGGCTGCAGAGTCAGAATCTTGTCCCATGCTTCTTAAGAAGCTTTTTCGCAGAGATGAAAACGGGCTGTCTGAGAAGGACATTGTAGATAACGCAATGGCGTTCATCATCGCCGGCAGCGATACGACAGCCAACACTATGACGTACCTGACCTGGGCTGTTTGTAAACATCCTCAAGTGAGAGACGAATTGGTGGAGGAGCTCCGTTCTCTCGCGCCAGACTTCACTGAACAAGATCTCCGTGGCTTGACGTGCCTGAACAATGTTATCAAAGAAACTTTGCGATTATACTGCGCCGCACCGTCCGCCTTGCCCCGCCTAGTGCCAGCAGAGGGTGTTGAGTTTCTTGGTCATCGAATACCAGGAGGAACAACTGTATCCACCCAGGCCTACACCTTGCATCGCATACCGGAAATTTTCCCGAATCCCGAATCCTTCGAGCCTCGTAGATGGACGAATCCTTCAAAGGAGATGAAAGATGCTTATATGGCTTTCGGTGGTGGATCACGAGGTTAGTTTTGACACTATTGATTGTCCTGATACAGAGTCAAAGTGCTAATACTTTAATATAGTCTGCTTAGGACAGCACCTTGCTGAAATCGAACTTCGCCTGGCCACTGCAATTTTCTTCCGCGCACTTCCTTATGCTAAAGTGTCCACGCTGGATGATATGAAGGATGAAGATATGGACCCTCATATATTCTTCCTATTGTCACCAAAAGGTAAAAGGTGCTTGATCTCCAGAGAATGAAGTTGAAAGTTACCTTGTGAATCAGTAATCTTAGCGATGATTCAATTGTTGTGACCCGGGTTACATGGCAACTTAGCTTTCGATTACATTTTCCATTTTATA